AAATCCAAAATTTTATGTGCTAACATGATGACACAAGTGGAAAATTCCATACTTGACCTCATGTGGTGGAGTCATAGTCAAAACACAGATGCATTTCAAATATTGGATAAAATTGCCTTCAGGCTATGTATATGAAACATACACATTTGTGAAACATAAATGAATTTGTTTTATTAGAATTCAGTCCCATCCCCATAGTATTTCGTTGTTCATATGAAAATATTCCACAATACAAAAATAATCCAAAACACTTTGGTCCCAAGCATTTCAACCTGCACCACATGTTCTTACTTATATTTAGAATCTCAAAACAATTCAAATTTAGAATCAGAAAGTAAGATGGTGTTTCTCAGATAAAGGGGGCTGAATAGCATAGGATGATGATTGTCTAAGTGTTCAAAGCCTTAGTTACATGACAGGAATAGGTTTTTACGATATGTTATTTTTAAAGATCTATTGGGTAGTATGGTGAATATAGCTAATAACAGCATATTGTACATTTAAAAATTGCTAAGAGAGTAAATTTAAAATGTTCTTACCACAAAAATAATAAAGATTTGAGGTGATGATGGATGGATATGTTTATAGCTTCATATAATTAGTCTACTACATTTTATTCACAAATCATAACATCACTTTGCACCCCAAGAATATATTAATTTATAATAAAAATAAACAAACTTAAATAGCATTTAGGTCAGAAAAAAAGAATTAACAGCAATTTTACATGACCTCTTCCAGAAAATAAGATGAGAAAACATTTCCTGTCCAATTTATGAAGCTGGTATTAGCCTCATATCAAAACCAGACCAACGCAGTTAAAAAAATAAAACTACAGACAAGTATTCCTCATGCAAAGATACTTAGCCAAATATCATCCAAGGAAATTTAGTAAAATGAATTGTGCACCATGACCAAATAAAATTTATCCCAGGAATGTAGAGCTGGTTTAGTATTAAAAAGTCAATATATTAATATGTAATCTATCATATTAATAGGTTAAAGAGTAAAAATTACATGATCAAATCAATTAACTGATGCAGAAAAAAATTATTACAAAGTTCAACACACTTTCATGACAAGAACTGTCATAAAAATAGGAATAAAGGGGAACTTCTGCAACTTGATAAAGGACATTTACAAAAAACTAACATTGCACTTATGCTTTCCCATAAGACGGGGAACAAGTCAAGGATATCTATTCTCACCACTCTTACTCAACATAATCCTTTAAATTCTAAGCATTGTTTAAGGCAAGAAAAGGAAATAAAGGAATACTGACCAGAAAGGAAGAATTATAACTGTCCCTAGTTATAAATGATATGATTGCTGTGTAGAAAATTCTAAGAAATCTACAAAAAAATCCTTGAATTATTAAGTGTGTTCAGCAAGGTCATATCACATAAGTAAATAGCATGTAACATCAATATGCAAAAATTATATAACCTACAGGTTCTGTTTTGCTAGAGAATCCAGACTGAAATAACAGTACAAGTTTTTTATACTGAGAGTTACACAATGGTAGGGAAAAAAATAAGAAGGACACAGAGAGTATATTCAAGAATGAAAAAAAATTCAAAACAATAATGATGTTGATTCTTCTTAAATTGATAAAAAGGCTTAATGCTATTCCTATCAAAATTCAGGCAAAATTATTTGTAGATGTAGGTAAAATTATTCCAAAATGTACATGGAAAGAAAAAGGAACTAGAATAGCTAAAACAGTTTTGAAAAAAAAGAGTAAAACAAAATCCCAAAAAACCAAAGGCTGAATGTTCTTCCTTATATGTGGATGATAACACACTTTAAGTGGAGAGGGACACGAGAAGTTCACTGGATTAGAAAAAGAGGAATGACGGGAAGGGAGGGAAGATGGGAATAGGAAAGACTATAGAATTAATTGCACATAACTTTCCTATGTTCATATATGAATGCATGACCAGTATAACAACACATCATGTACAACCACAATAATGGGAAGTTACATTCCATGTATATATAATATGTCAAAATATACTCTACTGTCTCATATGTCTAAAAAGAACAAACAAAATATGATAGTTAAAAAAAAAACCTTATTGCTACAGAAATTAACCAATGGCAGAGGAAAAGACACATAGATCAATGACACAGAATAGAGAAGCCAGAAGTGGACCCACAAACATACCAAACTGATTTTTGATAAATATGCCAAACCAAGTCATTAGAAGAAAGCCTTTCAACAAATGATGCTGGAGCAATTCAACATCCATAGGCAAGAAAATGAATCTTAATCTAAGTTTCATACCTTATAAAAATTAATTCAAAATGAATTAAAGGAAGCCTAAAACTAAAAACCTTAAAAACTAAAACAAAATCAACCAACAAACAAAATAAAACAGCAAAATAAATCTTTGGAATCCAGGACTAAGCAAAATGTTCCTAAACTTGATACCAAAAGCAAGATTCCATAAGAATAAAAATTGATAAATTGTATTTCATCAAATTTGAAAACCTTTGCTCTCCAAAAGACCCTGGTAAGAGAATGAAAAGATAAGGAACATGATTTGCATAATCTATGGCCAGCAACAGCTCCTTTCAATTCCTCACCCCTATTCCTTGGTCAGCAAAATGTATCACTTTAATAAGGGGGAGGAGTTGAGTGACAGCCATGTCTCCACATTAAAGTCCTCCCAAGTCAATGAAGCTGAGCTCAACTACTTTACAGGTCCAAAGAGCAATTTAACTATTGATTCAATGTCTGGCATGTAATCAATGCCAAATAAATACTCTCGAATTTAAAACAAACCAAAACCAAAGACCAGGAGAAAGTATTTGTAAACCACATATTTGAAAAAGAATCTATAGCTGGAATATAAAAAGAACTCTCAAAACTCAACAGCAAAATTAAAAAGAATAATAATCCAATTAGAAAATGGACAAAAGAAATGAAGATACATTTTACAAAAGAGGACATGTCTATGGCAAATAAGGACTTAAAAACATATTCAACATTAGGGGAATGCAAATTGAAACCCTGAAGAGATATTACTATATACCAATCAGAATGTCTAAAATAAAAAAATAGTGATAATGCCAAATGATATCACAGATATGTAGAAACTGAATCACTCATACATTATTGGTGGGAATTAAAGTGGTAGAATTACTCTAGAAAACAGTTTGATAGTTTCTTTGGAAATTAAACTTGCAATTACCTTGTGACCCAGCAATTACACTCTTGGGCATTTACCCCAGAAAAATGAAAACTAGTTTCAAAAGCAACCTGTACACACACATACACACACACACACACACACACACACACACACACACACAGTACACAAATATTTGAACATTTATAAAAAAGAAGTTTACAAAAAACTAACATTACACTTATGCTTTTCCATAAGACAGGGAACAAGTCAAGGATGTCTATTCTCAGCACTCTTTCAAGGATAGCTAAAAACTGGATAATACCCAGATGTACTTCCCTAGCAAATGGTTAAATAAACCATGGTAAACACATATCATGGAATGTACTGAGCCACAGAAAGGAACTACTGACATACACAGCAACCTGGATGAGTTCTGTTATGTGAAAGGAGTCAATCCCAAAGATTATATACTATGTGATTCCATCTACATAACATTCTTCTTTTTTTTTGCTTTTATAAAACCACTTAATAAAAGTATGATGGATACACAAAAAACTGTATATTTTTAATTTATATAGCTTGATACATTTGGAAATAAGCATACATCTGTAAACCATCACCACATCTATGCCACAAACCTCCAAATGTTTCCTCCTCTCTTCTTTATTTATCATTATTATTTGTGACAAGAATACACTTTTTTTCCCCTTAAGAACATTCTTGGAAAGGCAAAAGTATAGAAATGGAGAACTGATTAGTGGCAGACACAGGCTAAGGAGAGAGTGGGAATGGGAAGAAAGTGGGTATAGTCATAAAAAAAGAAAAACACGAGGCATTTTTTAGTGACAGAAGATGTTGAGAGCCACAGCGGAAGGGGTCCCAGCAAACTTCCAGCTGCCAGCTGATGATTGGCTCACTAGCGGCCCCAACAAACTTCTAGCTGCCAACTGATTGGCTCCTCTGTGGTGATGCTCATTGGGCTGTTTCCCTGCCCTTTCAGACCACGGAGCTGCTCATTGGGGGACTTTTTTTTGGCTCTGCCCACACGACCCAGCCAATCAGCCTCAAGAGCAGGGGGGGGGGTTGAGAGGCTTGCGGGAAGCCGGTGGTGGCAGCTGGGCTCTGAGGTGTGGTGTGTGTTCTAAAAATAAAGTTCATTTCTTTTGACAAGTGGCTCCTGAATTGTGCCCAGCCAGACTGCGGCAAGAAATGTTCTGTATCTTGATCATATTAGTGTCTATGTCCTGTTGTCATAATGCACAATAGTTTTGCAAACTGTTACCATCTTGGGGGAAGCTGTAAAAAGGATACATGGGATTTCTCTGTATTATTTTCTTAAAATTGCACCTCAATCCACAATTATAGAAACCTAAGAGCTTTGATACAAACAAAAATAAACACACACACACAAGCGTTTTGTTGCTTGAGCTGCTACCAAATAGGACTGACTTTCATCTATCTTGAAAGACTTAATCATATTCCTCTTTTTTTTTAAGTAAAAAGATAAGATGACCAGGGGAGCTCACCAAGTTTCTTCATAACATTATGACCACAGAATGATATGCTGGGAAATATAGTAAGTATTTAACTATTTTTAAGAGAATAGAAGACTGGTTAACTTGTATAGCTGGTAGTGTGGCTCAGTGATAGACCACTTTCCTAATATGCTCAAAGCTGTGAGTTCAATGCCCATGATGAAAAAAAGGAAAAAGGAAAAAAAATGGGGGTGGGGCTTAAGTTTAATCATAAAGGCAACAGAAGTGACTTTCTAATTATTAAATTAAATTATATCTGTTTTCATAGTATATTTCAAAAATACAGCTTGATTTTGAAATTTTTTTATAAATATATATCAAGACTTACTTGCTCTTCTCTATCTTAATTCTTTTAACATTCAACTTCCAGATAACAAAAGCTTTATTCATTCTGAAAAGAAAAATACTTTTTAAATTCTATATTCACAAATCATATATTTACATAGAATAAATATAGTAAAAACTAAGTAATTTTAGCAAATTCCCTATATGTTTCATTCATTCTGAGCTACCTGAAGTAAATACTAAGCCATTTTAAGTTTTCTCCCAAACTATCAACAGAATACAAAGTAAAAGGTAAATGTAAGTTAAAGTCATTAAAATTCTCATAGATGCAGAATTCACTTATCTGTAACATCCAAATAAAAATTTAAAACTATAATAATATATTCCTTCCCATTACACATTAATTGGTTTACTATTTTGAAAAGCAACTCTAACATCAAGAGGAGTTGAAATTCAATTTTCAATGACAATTAAATGATAATGATTTAAAAAAATAAGTAAAATGTTAAGATAATGTATGTCATTCTGATATTATTTAAGTTATGAAAAATCATATATATATAATTTTTAAACACTCAAAAACTGTATGAGAAAGAACTGAAAAGTTTACCTCATGATTATTCATCATGCATAATTGTCATACATCAAAAGACATAGATTCTCCAAATCTCCTTCAATTTCACCATTTTCTGCATCAATAGGATTATTCTGTGCTAAATTGCATAATCCCTCCCTTAGCAGCCTTTGCATTTTGAATAAAACAACCACTCTTAAGTAAGCACTGAAATGTGATTACTTGTTTTCCTGTGTAGCTGGTAAGGGCTAGTGAGGACAGAAAAATAGCAGGGAGTGGGTGTCCAAAAAACCAACCAGTCAATCTGTTTGATACTGGCTGAGTTTAAATCAAGAGACTGAAAGAGGTCTGAATCCATCCAAGCAGTTCAAAGAGAGTCCTATGAGATGCCCTTCAAAGAGAAACACCTGAGACCCTGAAAATCAGAAATGCCTCACACAAATCTTGTGACTTGACCATATATGTAGGCATTCTAATGAGCTCCTATTTTACTTTGATCCAGATCTGTAGAGCTGTGGTACAATCAAGACTCTTGCAGATTCCTGAAAACTCAGGGAACCCATTGGCAGTGTCCTGAGTGTCTGCACCAGGCCATACAAACTAATCCACCAGGAAGTTTAACAGGATAAAAAGGCTCATGCTGATGCTCTAGTCAACCCCCTGCTCTATCCATAGCATCACCAGATAAAATTGTTAACACTTCATATTTAGCTTATTATTCTACTTGAAATTTTTTATATTTACTTTTTAGTTATAGGAGGACATAATATTCTTTATTTTATTTTTATGTGGTGCTGAGGATTGGACACAGTGCCTCATGCATGGTAGAAGAAAGCTCTACCTCTGAGCCACAACTCCAGCCTGAAATGTTATTTTTACAATACAGTAATTTAATAACTTCACAAAATATACTAAAAATAAAATTTAAAAATCAAATTTATTGACAAAATTTTAATTTCTAATTTTCTTAAAATGAATAAAGAAAATGGAGCTACATATAGCTCAATGGAGAACATGAGTCCCACAATCACAAAATAAGAGAAAGAGATTGAGAGAGAAGAAGCAAGAAAAAAATGACTGATGACAAATGTCATTAAAAACAAAACAAAACAAAACTCTTGTTCCAGTTCTGCCTGGGTTTCAAAAGTTTAATACATGAAAATTGATTAAAGCAGAATGGACCTTGAGTATTTATATAAGGCAAAGATGATAGTGGAAAGCCCAGCATTGATAGAGTTTTAAATAAATAAATATAAAAAGTAGTTCTCTGAGCTAGGTGTGGTGGCACACACAGGGAGGCTAAGGCAAGAGGAACACAAGTTCAAAGCCAGCCTCAGCAAAAGCAAGGTGCTAAGCAACTCAGTAAGACCCTGTTTCCAAATAAAATTCAAAATAGGGCTGGGGATATGGCTTAGTGGTCAAATGCCCCAGAGTTCAATCCAGGGTTCTCCCCACCCCCCAAAAAAGAAAGAAAGAAATAGTACTCTGGATAATATTTTAACTGATAATCCAGAATCAAAACCTATCTAGCCTTACAATTAACACCTAAATTCTAGGGATGCATTTATCACATATCCTAGACAGGAAATTTCTCAGAACCGTTCCTCAATCACCTTCACTGAATGTGACCCAGAAATTAACAGAACCAGCTTCATTTCCTACCAATCTCTTCAATGCTCCTGTCATGCAATTCCTATTATTGAATAAAAACTATTGAACTTGGTCTATCCTCTGGCTGGAATTATCTTCTCTCAATGTCCCACATAGCCATTTCCTTTTATCATTTAGGTCTCTGCTTAAATACTACATCTCTTAGCATCCTATCTAAACATGTATTTTATTCTGTTTTATTATCTTTCTGGTCCTTATCATTATCTGAAATTACTTTATTTAGTTAGTTACTTATTATTCATCTCCCTCCATTGAAATCTAAGTTATATAGAAACAGACACTTTGTATATTTTTTCATGGTTCTATTGCCTGTCCTCATAAGAGTGAAACAGGATAGGTACATGACAAATTTTGTTCAATAAATAACTTCTCTGCCACAAAATTCCATATACTTCTCTTACTGAAAAGTTATTTAATCTATTTATTATGTTAAATATAATAATTTAAAGTATTTTTTGAAATCTCAGGTTGGGGCTCTAGCTTAATAGTGAAACACTTGCCTAGCATGTGTGAGGCCCCAGCACCATGCAAATGTGTGTGTGTGTGTGGGGGGGGAGTGTGGGTGTTATTTAGTTTCTCTTCCTAGTCCCCAGCAAATTTCAGAACACCACAAGAAAAGGTAGACATTTGAGAAGGAAAAAGAAAATTATAAAACTAGGTACTGTGCAAACACTGAAAGAACAACAGTCTGGGTTTACTTTGTGAGGAAAGAGTCTTAGGAATCCTGTTGTGTGATACAATGTAAAGTACCTTAGACAAATCTTTCAAAGATGAACTTGAATCAACAAGTTGCCCCCAGCTTCTTCATCCTTGTTTTATTTTTAAAAATTTTTTAGTTCTTTCATAACATTTCATCTCTGACATTTTACATTTTTACAGATTTGTTTATTATCTCTCACCTACTACAATTAAGGTTCTTTGAGAGCTAGACAATTGTTTGGTTTGTTTGACCGAGTAACCACAGCATCGAGAATAACACCTGAATTTTAGCAGATGTTTAATTAATGAATGAATAAATGCATGAAAAAGGTAAAGTGAGGTCAATACAGTCTATTTAAGTATGTTTGACTATTAAATATCTTTTTTGGGGCAATGTTAATCCAAAAAGACAAAAATTAAGGGTTTAATACTTAAATGAGTAAGTTCCCTTTATCTGAAATACTATATAATTCCCCATAAACATGGCATTACTATAATAGAAATCAAGTGTCATCAGGCCATTTTCTTAAAACAGGATCAAACTATAAAAAATAAAAAAGATTAATTTTTATTAATCTCACCGAAATTTGGAAAATATCTTAAATTGTTGTAATAAATAGTAAAAATGTCTTTCTGATAGCCATTCCAAAACAGGTGTGAGCTCCACGTCTTCTGTATTGTCACTTATTTTAATAACCTACAAGTATAAAAAGCACAAAAGTAGGATTTTCTTTTAAAAATAGCTGCTATTTTCAAGAAATTAAGAAAGGCTACGTTTAGGGCTCATAACTACTTGCCTTTAAATTTAAGCCTTTTCTGTGCCTGAACTCTCATTAACCTCAACTGCTTTGCTTTCCCTTCACACATTGATTCTAGATTTGCCTTTCTCCTGCTACTTTTTGTGCTCCAATGGAGAAAAGATAGGAGAGATTTCCTCCATACTCAGAAATACTTCTCCCAAATGATTATACAAATTTGAGTCCTGCAATTTTTATGCTTTCTGTAGAATTTATAAACTCATTTTATTTTTTAAAATATTTTTTTAGTTGTAGATGAACCAATATCTTTATTTTTTATTTATTTATGTGGTGCTGAGGATTGAACCCAGGACCTCAAGCATGCAAGGCAAGTGCTCTATCACTGAGCTACAACCCCAGCCCTATAAACTCAATTTAAACTAGAGTGGTTCAATTTATAACTCCACTTCTCAGATATCCTATTTTTATATCAAAAAACTAATATTCACCAAGGAATTTTGTCCTCCCAAGGGTTGTCTGCCCAATGGAATGTTAAAATATTCATATACTTCTAGAAATAAAAGTATGCCTTTATCAGCATATATGTATCTATGTATGTTTTTATTTATATAAAAATTGTTCTTTCCATCTTCACTCCATATTACTTCCATATATGTACATCTAGCTCTATTTTATGCAGATGTGGTTCTGCAAAGTGTACTTAGAATTTACTTTAGTTGGGAGGCTGGGAGAACAGAGGCAGACAGACAGATATTAAACAAATGATCAAAACAAGTATTTGTATAATTGTAACTTGTGGTAAGTATCAAAGTGCTATGTAAGAGTATAGTAGGGGATTTCTGTATCTGGAAATAAAGTTTATAAGAAATGTGCCAATAAAGAGCATTCTTATCTTTATAATTATCATTCCTGTTATACTGGCAAATGCCTGTTTTTAAATTCTTCCTTTAAAAATTACACAAAATATTAATAAAGCATTCGAGACCTTGAAATTTTCTTAAAATTGAATCCTCAAGCCTATATGTATATAAAGAAGAAAAAATGTACTATCAAATAACTTTTCCAAGGAAATTCTTAAATATGGACTGCTTCTCAAATGACCACACTTCTCTAAAGCACAAAGATAAATTCATGTGATAAAATTCTAAATTGGATAATATTTTTCTATTTTAAATCTGAAAGCTGAAGCACCCATTATATATTACCTTTGAGACAAATGAAGCGGTAATAATCCAAAATTCTTTGCATTTTTTAGCTCTATGGGTAGAGACTACTTGAGGATCATATGGATTGGAAAGGCCGTTAGGATTATACCGAGGAATGCAATATACAAATTCCCCATCATCTTTTAAAGGCTCCTGAGGTTAAAAAAAATATAATTAATTTGACTAAATTAACTAATGAAATGGTTGAAATGAAAAATTTTTAAAAATATTTATTTATTTATGAAATGAAATGAAACAATTTTAATATAAAGATTAAAAATATGACTGGGCTGGGGATGTTAGCTTAATGGTAGAGTGCTTACCTAGCATACATGAGACCTTAGGTTTGATCCCCAGCACAGGTAAAAAAAAAAATAATAATAATAATAAAAATAGAAATAGAAATGTCATTGAGGAAAACCAACATCAAATTGTGTCTAATCAAAGTTCAATAAGATTAATCTTATGAGAGATTTAATATATTTAATTTTCATTCTTAAACACAATGTGATGATAAAACATTCAGAAAAATGTATCCATCTGCTTACTAATGCATTTAATGTATGCTTACTAACCCAAAAAACTTGATGACATACCTTTTATATATGCCATCCTCCAATAAATTTATTTGCCAACACAAGAAAACTTGAGGCATATTAGATATATCGTTTATTTTGATGATGGTGGGTAATAATTGTGGCAAATATTTGTTAAGATATATTTCATAAGAAAGTGTTCCACATATATTATCTAAACCATAAAAGTTTAATATCTAACTTTAATCAAAATTAAAGGGAAATTAAGGGTCAATACTTTTTATCTTGTTAAGATGAATGCAGAAATTAATAATTTGATAAACTGGGTAATGTGAAAAATATCACCGATATAAGAAGTGGCAAAGTAGAAATTTAAATCCAAGTCTGACTCTAAACTCATGTTCAAAGTTTCTGCAAAAATATAATGGCTCTCCCTCATTTAATTGGTATTTCTGAGGAATTGGCTGTTCTATAGTAAGAAAAATTTAAGTGTCAATTTTAAAGCTACCTTCTTTTAGCTTTCAAACTTTTACTGATGAAATCAATTCTAAAATTATAAGAAAGTTGAATTAGTCTTCTCTGGGCAGTTAAATTTGATTATAAGAAAAAAACTATTTAGTATTCAATGATGCCCTCAGAAGTTACTGAATTAAATAACTAATTAGTTCCCGATTACTTCAGCTTTAAATTTTGGATCCAGTTTTACAATTATTTTTAAAATTTTTTCTTCCTTGAAAAGTCTTTGTTTCTTCTCAATTGTGTTAGCTATTTACTATTATTTGTCCACTTAAAGAATTTTTGTTCTAAATTATATTTCAAACTGTGATGTTATTAGAAACTCAGTATAGGTACAATTATATTAAATGGATCATATATTTAATTAAAATTCAATTATTGAAGCATAAAAATGTTTCAATTAAATTATTCTTTTTTACTGAAAACAAGTGTTTTTTTTCATATTCTCAATTCTTTCTTTACACACAACTGAAACATTTAAGAGTCCAAAGAACTCATGTACAGCTGAGGTTTTATGTTGTTTTTATAAAAAATAAAGTATGTCCACAATCTTCCTGGCACTATGGCACATAGTGCCATATTTGATTTAATATTCACAATGTTCTAGGGTAAGTTCTATTATCACCATTTTAAGATCAAAGAAAGTAAGGCCCAGAGACAATAGCAACTTGGCCAAGATAACCTGGTGAATTCCTGAGATTCAAAACTACACAAATTTGATTCCATTGTGCATATTCTTTCCTTTACATTATGGTGTCTCTAAACAGTGTCCAAATGATCACTTATCCTCATGGTAACAGTCTAGAGCTGAGATCAGCAAACCATAACATGGGCCACATGTATTTTATTGTAAATAAAGTTTTATTGGACCATACACCCATTTGTTTACATATTGCTTTGCACTGTTAAGTTGAGTAGTTACAACAGAGTTGAGTAGTTACAAAAGAGATCTCAAGACCTGCAAAGTCTGAAATATATATTACCTGGCCCTTTTCAGGAAAAGTTTGCTGACCCTTGGTTTAGAGCAGTGTTTTTAATTGTGCATTAGATTCACCTGAAAGCTTAATACAGATTGCAAGGCCCCATCTCCAGAGTTTCTGATTCACTGGATCTAGGATTGTGAATGACAATATGTATTTCTAATAAGTTTCTTTAATAAATTTCTTTTATTTCTTTTTAAATCACACACCAAAACAACAACAAAAAACTGACATATCAGAATAAAAGAGTAGATTCTAATTTCATGCAGATGGTATCCTTTCCTGGGGACCAAATCAGTTAGAGGAAGGAATAAAAGAGGATAGACACAAATATTTTGATGCATCATAGACTTAAAAATTTATAGGCCTTTTTAATTTTCTGTTCCTTAAATAAGTGAAACAAAATAATGTCAATATTTTTATAAGCTTTTACCATGAAACAATTATTGCAATTTGATATTAACATATCTGATTTTGATGCAATATTTTAAATGTATTAAATAGAAATTAAAATTAAAATATTGATTTTTATAGTCCAAAATTAAATAAAGTGCAATAGTACCTTTAGGATAATCTTCTGAACTGCAATTTTGGGATCATCATATTTAAAGTCTTTTGGTGATAAGGCAGTTTGCCAACCAAGCTTTTCTCTTAGCCTAGTAATATGTCTTATGACATCATCATCTTCTGGTTCTGGTGCAGAATATTAAAAAAAAGTTCAATAGAAATGCAAATATGGATACCACTTAAGTATAATGTATAATATTTCAAAAAGTTCTACACAGAGAAATTATAACAAAGTTAATGTAAAACTATATAATGAAAAGAGGAGGTATAGCTTAAAATTCAGTCTTAAGAAGAACTTTAAAAGAGGAACAATATTTATCTACTTAAAGATATCACAAAAGACTTAATTCCAAGTTATAGATAATAAGAAAAAAGATTAGAACTGGAGCCAGTTGTAAGGCTTTTCTTTTTTATTTTGAGGATGGAATGCAGGGCCTTGTACATCCTAGGCAAGCATTCCATCGTCAGTTTTACTCCCAGCTCCAAGGCTTATAAAAGGCCTGAGCTAGAGGTAGAATCTTTGTAGGATCCAAAAGGAAGGGATGACAATACAGGATGGAGGTATTTTTCCTAAAGATACTCATTCAACAGACACTGTGCAGACCATATCTTCTTGATCTCTTAGTTGGCAGCTAAGAATTTTCTCTTTTTTGAAATAGTCTTTTTAAAATTCTGGATTTTATTCATCATGCTGTACAACACTTGTTCTTTAAATTCTCTTTAAAAAATAACAAATTAAAATTCAAATTGTATATACTTATGGAAGTACAGTGTGAAAATCCAAAACATACATGCAATATGTGATGATAAAATCATGGTCAATAGCATTTCCATCCATTTAAATATTCATCATTTGTGTTGGAAAGTTTCAAAGTCCTGTGTTTTGATTCTTTTTAAAAATTTCAATAAATTGTTGTAACGTCAGTCAACCTACTATGCTATAGAATATTAGAACTTATGCTTACAAGTTTAATTTTTTGATAAACATCTTAATTTGATGCTCTTTGACCACTTCTCTGAATTTTTCTTTTTTTTTAAAAAAAAATATTTATTTTTTAGTTGTAGTTGGACACAATACCTTTATTTAATTTATTTATTTTTATGTGGTGCTGAGGATCAAACCTAGGGCCTCACACAAGCAAGGTGAGTGCTCTACCATTGAGCCACAAATCCAGCCCCTGAATTTTCCTTATGATGGAACTCTAAAAGTGAGATTATTGGTCAAAGGCTATGAAAAAAATATGAAAGTTCTACACTTACTAAGGACTCTGTTCATTTTGAGTCAAGTAAGCTGTCTGGATTCTACCAGACAGGGGCAATAATTGAGAAAGAAATTTCTTTTTCTTTCTAATTAAAGATTAGGTGATGTTATTGCTGTTAATCATTCACTTACCTATTAAACAGAGTCATTGTTAAATACACAAAAAAAATCATAAGAAGAAATTTGCCTCTTCTCTAAATGTATTCATTATTTGGCCTTCTTCTATTCTCCTTACTGGCCTTCCTAGCCTCTAATGACAACTATTCTAATTTCTGTATCTATGAAATCAACTTTTTTAGCTTCCACATTAGAATGATAATATATGTCATTTGTCTTTCTGGCTTACTTCATTTAACATAATGTTTTCCAATTCCATCCATGTTGCCCCAAATAACAGGACTTCATTCTCCTTATGTCTGAACAATATTCCATTGTATATTTACATCACATTTTAAAATCTGTTCATTCATTCATTGACATCTTGATTGATTCCATATGTTGGCATTAAAAAACAGTGCTATATTAGCCATGGATTTATTTGATACACTGATTTCATTTCCATTTGAATATCTATCCATCCACTAGTGAAACAGTGGGATCACATGATAATTCTATTTTCAGTGTTTTGAAGAACTTCTACATTATTTTCTATAAAAGTTGTACTAATTTCCATCCTACCAGCAGTATATTAATGTAATGGCACCTGGCATTTTGCCAGAGAAATGTTAGGGTCTGTAAACAAGATGGCACCTGGCAAAATGCCAGAGGGAGTGGTTTGTGAAGTAATGCCATCGAGCCATTAAGTGTGGAGATTCCTTATTGGTTGACTGCTGTATCGAGTTTATGTTAATTAAGATAAGCTGTGTGGAATGTATAAATACCTCTGTTGTCCTACAGTAAACGGCTCCTACTCCTGCTGTATCAATCTACACAAGTTGCTCGTCACACCCCAGTTATTATTTCTCCAAATCCACGTCAGCATTTGCTTAGTTTTGTCTTTTTTACTATAGCAATTCTAACTGGGATGAGATGGTATTTCATTGTGATTCTGATCTGCAATTCCTTGATGATTAGTAATTTTTAAAAATTTCTTATTTATCCTAATTAAGTATATAGACAGCAGAATGCATTTTGATTCATTGTACATGAATGCAGCACAACTTTTCATTTCTCTGGTTGTACACGAAGTAGCTTCATGTCATATGTGCAGTCATACATTTACCTAGGGTAATGATGTCCATCTCATTCCACCATCTTGCCTGCCCCCATGCACTCTCCCCACCTCTCCCTTCCCTTTGCTCAATAAAAGTTCCTCCATCCCCCCAATAATGGTTCAGCATCCACTTATCAGAGAGAACATTTGGCCTTTGGTTTATTGGGATTGGCTTACTTTGCTTAGCATGATATTCTCCAACTCCGCCCATTTACCTGCAAAGGTTTGGGCCTACTTTTTCCTCTATCAGGCAAAGGGTCTCTGGACTAATTCCTAGGTCCTTGATCCACTTTTGAGTTTTGTGCATGGTGATATAGGGGTTTGTTTTCATTTTTCTGCATATCGATTTCCAGTTCTCCCAGCACCATTTGTTGAAGAGGCTATTTTTTCTCCAGTGTATGTTTTTGATGCCTTTGTCTAATATAAGATAATTGTATTTATGTAGGTTTGTCTTTGTGTCTTCTATTCTGTACCATTGGTCTACATGCCTGTTTTGGTGCCAATACCATGCCATTTTTGTTCCTATAGCTTAGTGGTATAGTTTAAGGTCTGGTATTGTGATACCTACTGCTTTACTCTTCTTTCTAAGGATTGCTTTGGTTATTCTGGGTTTTTTACTTTTCCAGGTGAATTTCATGATTGCCTTTTCTGTTTCTGTAAGAAATGATGTTAGGATTTTAATTGGAATTGCACTGAATCTGTATAGTGCTTTGGGTAGTATGGCTATTTTGATAATATTAATTTTGCCTATCCAAGAGCATGAAAGATGTTTCCATCTTTTGAGGTTTTCTTCAATTTCTTTCTTTAATGTTATGTAGTTTTCACCTCTTTTGTTAAGTCAATTCCCAAATACTATATTTCCTTGAAGCTATTGTGAATGGGGTAGTTTTCTTAATTCCTCTTTCGGAGGATTCATCACGGATGTATAGAAATGCATTTGATTTATGGGTATTAATTTTATATCCTGCTACTTTGCTGAATTCATTAATTGACTCTAGAAGTTTTCTGGTGGAGTTTTTTGGATCCTCTAGGTATAAAATCATGTCATCACCAAATAATGATTGAGTTCTTTTTTTCCTATTCATATCCCTTTAATTTCCTTCATCCATCTACTTGCTCTGGCTAGAGTTACAGGACAATATTGCATAGAAGTGGAGAAAGAGGGCATTCCTATCTTGTTCCAGTTTTTAGAGGGAATGCTTCCAATTTTTCTCCATTTAGAATGATGTTGGCATTGGGTTTGGGATAGACAGCCTTTACAATTATGTTCCTACTATTCTAGTTTTTCTGGTGTTTTGAACATGAAAGAATACTATATTTTCTCAAAAGCTTTCTCTGCATCAATTAAGATGATCATATGATTCTTTTCTTTAAGTATTGATGTGATGAATTATTTATTGATTTCTGTATGTTGAACCAGCCTTGCATCCCTGGAACAAACCCAGCTTGATCATGGTGCACTATTTTTTTGATATGATTTGTATGTGATTTGCTAGAATTTTATTGAGAATTTTTGCATCAATGTTCATCAAGGATATTGGTCTGAAATTTTCTTTCCTTGATGTGTCTCTGCCCGGTTTTAGTATCAGGGTGATATCAACTTCCTAGAATGAGTTTGAAAGTGTTCCCTCTTTTTCTATTTCATGGAATAATTTGAGTATTGTTATTAATTCTTCTTTGTAGGTCTTGTAGAACTCAGCTGTGAATCTGTCTCGTCCAGAGTTTTTCTTCATTGTTAGGCTTTGATGGCACCTTCTATTTCCTTGCTTGAAATTGATCTGTTTAAATTGTGTATGTCCTCTTGATTCAGTTTGAGTTGATCATATGCCTCTAGAAATTTGTTGGTGTCTCCGAGGTTTTCTATTTTCCTGGAGTATAAATTTTCAAAATAGTTTCTAATTGTCTTCTGTATTTCAATAGTGTCTGTCATGATATTTCCTTTTTCATCAGGAATTTTAGTAATTTCAGTTTTCTCTCTCCTTTCCATTAAGGTGGCTAAGGGTTTGTGAATTTTATTGAGATATTTAAAGAACCAGCTTTTTTTGTCAATTTATTTTTTCTATTCATTTTAATTTATTATACACAACAGCAGAATGCATTAAAATTCATATTACACATATTGAGCACAATTTTTAATATCTCTGGTTGTACACAAAGTAGAGTTACACTATTTGTGTCTTCATACATGTACTTAGAGTAATTATGTCCATCGCATTCTACCATCTTTCTGATGGTGCACTGTTTGGGGCATATATATTTATAATTGTTATGTCTTCTTGATGTATGGTTCCATTGAGCAGTATAAAATGTGCTTCTTTGTCACTTTTGATTAACTTTGGCTTTAAGTCTACTTTTTTTGATATGAGAATGGAAAACTCCTGCTTGTTTCTGCAGTCCATGTGAGTTTCTTCCCAACCTTTCACCTTCAGTCTATGGATATCTTTTCCTATGAGATGAGTCTCTTGGAGGCAGCATATTGTTGGGTCTTTTTTTTTTTTTTCAATCCAATCTGACAGTCTAAGTCTTTTGATTGGTGAGTTTAGGCTATTAACATTCACAGTTATTATTGAGACATGATTTGTATTCCCAGCCATTTTTGTTTTTGGTATTTAACTTGACTTGGTTTCTCCTTGGATTAGTTTTTCCTTTAGC